GGGAGCTCCCACCCTCTGGAATGAACTGCCCCCAGAGATCAGGGTTATCCCTGATCTCCCTTCCTTTCGCCGCGCCCTCAAGACTTGGTTATTCCAGCTTGCAGGACTGGCCTAGGGTAATTTTTAGGGGGGTTTTAATTCTAATTATATTTTAAAATTCGACAAATATTTAAATATTCCTTTTAATTAATTTTAAATTGTATGGTTTTGTATGTATTTTAAATAGATTGTCAGCCGCCCTGAGTCCTACGGGAGAAGGGCGGGATATAAATCCAAAAAATAAATAAATAAATAAATAAATCTGTCTATCTATCTATCTTATCATCTAACTTATCTATCATCTATCTTATCATCTATCTATCTATCTATCTATCTATCTATCTATCTATCTATCATCTAACTTATCTATCATCTATCTTATCATCTATCCATCTATCAATCTATCTATCAATCTATCTATCTATCTATCTATCTATCTATCTATCTATCTATCTATCTATCATCTATCTATCTATCTATCTATCTATCTATCTATCTATCTATCTATCTATCTATCTATCTATCATCTATCTATATTTATCTATCTAATCAAAGAATCCTCACACCAACACTGAGAAGGCAAATCACTTGTACATTAACAGAGAGAAAACCCCACTGACTCCCTTCTAGCACTGATGATGTTACCTAGTTGGGTCATGAAATGTCTGCAAGAAAACAGCCATGTTCAGAGAGCACCAAGGACCCCTTAATCATAAAATCAAAATATTAAAACAAGGCTAGCCTGCTGAAGATTAACCCATATTTCTTTGGTTGGACACACAGAGCATTCAGGGCTGATGGCGATAGTGGAGTGGGTGAATGTCTATGGAAGAAAAAAAAAGCAACTTTGGGGGTGGAGTGTGCGTGTATATATGTGTACATACACAAGCACAGAAGTTTAAGAGATCTCCTGCTAGTACGATTTGAGGGCCATATCTCTCTGTGTGTGTGTTCTGTTCTTCTCTGCCCAGGTATCTTTGCAAGCAGCTGGTGCACCCACAATGTCAGCCACGCCATGCTGGCCGTGGGCTACGGCACTGAGCAGGAGGGTAAGAAGACCACCGATTACTGGATCCTAAAGAACAGGTGATTAAAGAGGAGATGGCACAGGATGAAGAAGAAGGGCATTGACAATCAGTTCCTGGATCAAAGTTAAATCTCATTTATTTTATCATCAGGTTTAGCTAAGAAAGTGTGAGGGGCTATTTGTTAGAACAGGGTTTCTCAGCCTTGGTAAGGTTGCCCCAGCTGGCTTTTTATGCCTAAGGTGGAACTAGAACTCACCGTCTCCTGATGATTGACCCAAAGTCACCCAGCCGCTTTCATACTTAAGGCAGGACTAGAACTCACGGTCTCCTAGTGATTGGCCCAAGATCACCCAGCTGTTTTATACCTAGGGCCGGACTAGAAGTCACCGTCTCCTGGTGATTGGCCCAAGATCACCCAGCTGCTTTATATCTAAGGATGGACTAGAACTCACCGTCTCCTGGTGATTGGCCCAAGATCACCCAGCTGTTTTATATCTAAGGACGGACTAGAAGTCACCGTCTCCTGGTGATTGGCCCAAGATCACCCAGCTGTTTTATACCTAGGGCCGGACTAGAAGTCACCGTCTCCTGGTGATTGGCCCAAGATCACCCAGCTGTTTTATATCTAAGGACGGACTAGAACTCACCATCTCCTGGTGATTGGCCCAAGATCACCCAGCTGTTTTATACCTAAGGCCGGACTAGAACTCACCGTCTCCTGGTGATTGGCCCAAGGTCACCCAGCCAGCTTTCATGCCTAAGGCACGACTAGATCTCCCAATCTCCCACTTTCTACCCTGGGGCCTTAAGCAGAGCAAACTTTGCTTAAAGCAGTTCATTCTTGGCAACACAGAGGATCTGGACCAGCTGTAGAAGGGATACAGGCAAACCTCTTGATCGGTCAAGGGTTCAAGAGGGTCTGAATTCATTGTTGGAACGTATTTTTAGGCAACAACTACAATAGTATTCAGCCAGTAGATGGCAGAATTTACAAGCTTGGATCTATATGGTATATAGCAGGGGTCTTCAAACTTGGCCCTTTTATGACTTGTGGACTTCAACTCCCAGAATTCCTCAGCCAGTCATGCTGGCTGAGGAATTCTGGGAGTTGAAGTCCGCAAGTCATGAAGGGGCCATAGTTCCCCCATGCTGGCTCAGCAATTCTGGGACTTGAAGTCATGAAGGGGCCATAGTTCCCCCATGCTGGCTGAGGAATTCTGGGAGTTGAAGTCCACAGGTCATGAAGGGGCCATAGTTTCCCCATGCTGGCTGAGGAATTCTGGGAGTTGAAGTCCGCAAGTCATGAAGGGGCCATAGTTCCCCCGTGCTGGCTGAGGAATTCTGGGAGTTGAAGTCTGCAAGTCATGAAGAGGCCATGGTTCCCCCATGCTGGCTCAGCAATTCTGGGAGTTGAAGTCCTGAAGGGGCCATAGTTCCCCCATGCTGGCTGAGGAATTCTGGGAGTTGAAGTCC